AAATTATCTGAAGACTCACGCAAATGTTAAATCAGTTAACTGACAAATAGTAGAGCACAATTTAAACTGAATTACACATGTTCACATTGTAAATAGAGTGGCACATATTTGTTTTCATAAAGATGGAAACAGGAATTGAGACCTGATCACCAGTGCCTTCTGAGCACGGCTGGAGACCCTTTGGAGGTGTGTTCACTCTCATCTGCCTTCAAAGGCCTCCACGTCAAGAGTGAAAAAGCCCACTGCTGTGCAGGTGACAGAATATAAGGAAGGTGCTGTAGGCAGGAGAGTGACAGAGCCAGATTTAGAGTGTTTTCCAAAGATCACTCTAGCTGTCAGGGTGGACGATGGATTTGTGGACCACAAGGCTGGAGGAAGAGGCTGCTGCAGGAATCTGCATCAGGGAGAACAAAACCTCCTCCAAAGCAGCCACCGTGGCCCAGGAAGGAGGGGATGGACGTGTGGCGATCTGGGTCCAGATGGACAGGATCTTGATGTCACTGATAACCCTGGCTCGTCTTCATGGAGGACTGACTGTGTGCCAGGTGCTGGGTTGGGCATGTGTCAGGTATTATTCTGCACCCACATGGGAGGTTGACACTTTACAGAAGAGGAAACTGAGGCTGTGTCCAGCACTTCATAGTTTGCTTAAGATCATTCGGTTTGCCAATGACAGAGTTAAATTCCAAATACAGAGTCCTGTTTCTGAACAGCACTACCTAAACTGCAGGAAACTCAAGAAGTTCCTCTGCACACTCCAAGAAATCCTCCCCTGCCTTATTTGAATGCCAACACCTCTTTTTCACGGCCTTTGAGGCCACCAGGGAGTGGCTACTTATTAACAGCTGCCTCATAAAAATCTTGTCACAAACACGGAGCCAGCAATTAGGTCCTCTGCTAGCCTTCCACTGTCTGATGAAGGACGATGTACTTCAGCATCCCTAGACCTCTCAGGAGGAAGCCACAGTCATGAAAACACATTGGAGTTGCTCTCAGCCATGTGCTCAATTCCATGACACCGGTTCTCAGCCACCCACTCCATCTGCTGGAAACCGCTGGGCAACACGGAGTGGGCGTGGAGCCTAATGAAGCAAAGAGAGGCCAGGTGCTCCCACTCTGGGCCAGAAGGCCCACCGCCACCTCAGTGGCAGGGTGAGAGGAGAGACAATGAAAGACTCAGGATTCAGACCATCATATTTGAGATTTTTGGCGGTCAGAGAAGGGTAATGGAGCATGTCTAAAATTGTGTTTCTGAGGATACTTCTGTTCTGCAAGATGTTAATAAATGTTCCAGGGGGAAAAGCAGAATCTGTGCACAAGATGGTATCACAGACACTGGGTTAAACAAAGCAGCCCAGCTCTCTGTACTGCAGCCCACTGTCTTTAATAGATGAAAAGACATTTAGAAAGCTCCAAGAGGAAGAGGGAGTGAGCAGAATTTCCAAAAATTTGCTTTGACTCATGCATTTCTGTGCAAGGAAATCTTTATTTTTTTAAAAAATATATATATTTTTATTTGTAGATGGACACAAGTCTTTATTTTATTTATTTATTTTTATGTGGTGCTGAGGATCGAAACCAGGGCCTCATGTGTGTGAGGCAAGTGTTTTACCACTGAGCTACAACCCCAGTCCCCCAAGGAAATCTTGATAAACAAGTTTGGAAGTGCAGGGCTGATGTATACTGTCCGCACCCCTTTCCCACAAAATCCTTCCTGATGGTGGCAGCAAACTTGCAAGCACAATGCTATTGAGCTGTTTTGGTAATGGCTTTGACAGCATGCCCTTGAGCACAGTTGATGTGCTACTTGTCAGGAAGTACGTCTATGGGGAAAGTGGGGTCTGCTGGAGGTCAGTACCAGGAGGCTTTGGTTCAGCACGGATCCCTCTTACACCATCAATTTGAAAGTTATAAAACTGAGCCACTTTCTGATGCCTAAACACTCACTTAGTCAATAAATATTATTAAACCCTGCCTGCCTATGCATGAAGGTTTATAAATTTGAGGCATATCTTTGAGAGAGGAACACATATAAACAAGAAAAGAAATAAATTTTAAACTAAACTAGTATTCAGAGGAAGCAAAAGAAAAAAAAATTTCAAAAGAATTATGTAAAAGATCCTAGCAAGTTTGGTTCCCAAAGGAGCAGAACTTTTGATTGGCTGGTCACCAGAGATGGTGCTGAGGAGCTGACTCTGAGCCCAGGGGTGAAAGGTGAGAAGGGGCCAGACAGGAGGAGGATGAGTAGTAAAGGGGGTTGTGTAGAAAGAGACATGGCAAGAAGAAGGACTAGTAAGTTCTCAGCCTCTAAAGAAGGGAACCCTTAGCTCCGTTCAAGAAACAGGAAGGAAAATAAGAAACAGGTTTGGTTGAAGCATAAGAAAATGCAGAGCAGGTGATGTTAGGGAAGACAGCCTCGCCAGCTACAGATAACACAGGGTTGACAAGGTGTGGTGCAGGCTGTGTCCCAGAGTTTGGATTGCATTCTTAGGCAAACAGGAAACTATTAAAGCAGGAGAGTGATATTAGCTGATTGATATTTTTAAAAAGTTACTCTATCTACTTTGGGGAAACTGAATTTTTTTAAAAAAGGGTGTAGTTGAAAGGAGGAGGTAAGAAATGACAGTGGTCAGAATTTGACACACATTGAGGAGATTCAAATGGATTCCTTCATGCATTCATTCTCTGAGGACCCATCTAACTTGTAAATTAAAACAGCATGCTATCCAATCACAATCTAGGTCAAGGAGATGTACGCTAATAATCTTACTCTGAAATTCTGCTCTGACCGGGTGAGAGAGAGAGAGGGATTTCCAAGTGAAGGCAAAGATTATGCAAAAGAAAAAAAGAAAAACTAAAAAACACAAAAGACTTGTATGAGGTATTGTTTATAATGATGACATATTAAAACCTCCCACGTGTCTAATTGTAGAGGCTGCTTAAGAAAATCATGGTGCATGAAATGGATATTTTTAAATAATTCAGTGACATAAAAATGTTGAAGGTGCGATACTAACACATAAAGAAGTGGGAGCTTATTGACTTGAAGTCAAGGGTATTAATGGGGTATACATATAGGGGGATGTGGGAGGCGGATTCTTGGTGGATGTTGAAGGAATAAAAATAGATAGGGAAGACAGTAAAATTTTGAGTGACCCTGAATGCTCAATGTAGGGGAAAAAAATTCACAATAGCATTTATTCAGTTCTTGATACAGGCTTCCTGAAGATTCTCAGGTGATCTACATTTGTCATTTCTTCAGCTCCTCCTAGCAATCTTCTAATATAAGGTTCATGATTTTGTGCATTGGGAAACTGAGGCCCAGAGAGGGCTGATAACTCTATCTAAGCCATGCAAGTGGAAATTGATGGGGTTGGGATTAGCACTCAGACATTTCTGACTTCAAGGCAACTGCTATTTAGCACATGAGTTCCAAAAATGAATTTCATCGTTTTCAATGTGTGGCCTCAGCTTAACATGCAGATCTTGGGTTTTCACAGCATTCACGATCACACAGGAGTGAGACATAGACATGCTTTCAACAAACAGCAATCATCTCCCATGTGTCAGATACTGATTTAGGCCCAGAAATGCAAACACCACCCAAGCAATAAGACAATCCCTGCCTTCTGCCCAGCTAAAAGAGCTAGACGGAAGCAAATTACAATATGCAAAAATGAATCCAGTGATTAACACATGTATAAAGGAAAACTAGGACAACCCAGTGGGAATCGTGACTTCCACACGATACCTTCGTGGAAATGCACGCCTTAGGTTTGACTTAGAAAGACAGGTAGGATTTCACTTGTGTAGAATTTGATGGTTTAGTTAAAAGGTTTAGAACTCACTCTGATGGGTTTTTCCTGGATCTACCATACTTACTAGGCTGTCTGTCCCCTTGGGCAGGTTACTATAGCTCTTTCTGCCTCAGTGAGATGATCTATAAAATGGGAATTGTCATTGTACCTGCCTCATATGGTCACTCTGACGATCAAACAAAATAAGATGTATATTGCTGCCTAGAATAAATAAAGTGCGAGTAAATAAATTATTTATAGGGGCCAGATAGGTGACTTCATGCAGAGACAGTGGCACGAGGAGAGACACAGAGAGAGGTCAGAGCTCATGGATTTAGAAGAGACAGCGATCAAAACTCTGTGGGGCTTTGGATGTCACGTTCCTCAGCCTGAATGCTTCTGAAGGTGCTAGGCGGCCACAGAAGCCATGGAGAAGAGCTGAGTTACTGGAAACTGAAAAGTGAGAGGCAAGAAGAAGCACAACCAGATGCAGACTGAAAAGAAAGACCAGGCTTGGAAATCAGGCCAGGCCAAGTGCGTTCCTCACATACACAAAGTCATACAGATGGCCAGGAAGATGATGAGGTAGCAGAGGGAAAGAGAAGAGGGAAGATCAACAGGAGGGGCAGAAGGAAAATGTCTACTCTTTATGAAATGTTGGGCACTATACTAAGATATTGCAAGGACCCCACGAAACACTCTACTTGGGGAAGTAGAGTGACAGCCTAGGTGACATACTAGCAGAACAAAAATTTAACTTCAATTCTTTCTAGTTCAGAATACTCATACTTTTGATCACTGTATTACTTCCTTTCCTACAGACGGGACTCGATTTCCTGTTCTTGGGGGCCTGTGTTCCTGACCTCCAGGCAAGGATCTTTTTACTCTTAGTTCTCTAGAGTGATACCAACCACAATTTAAAAGACCATCTACTGTTTGCAGGTCCTGGTGCTAGAAGATTAGATTGTTGCTAATCTTCTTAATTACTCCAGAATTTAAAGGACCCATTCCCATTCACAGATGAGGAAGCTGGGGTTCCCAGAAGTGAGCTCTGCCCCCAGGAGCACAGATCTACTGTCTCCCAGAGGATTTATAAGGGACAAAGTGCAACAGGGTTCTATGAGCAATGCAAGTCTTTCCAGCATCTCTGGGACCCTAGGACAGCCTGCTGTCTTCCTGGCAAGAGGTGCCAGGAGAGCCTACCTCGAGACTTGCTCCTCCGCTTCCGCTTCCCTGCCGAGGCGCTGCGCGGGGCTGGCTGCAGCTGACTGATCTCGATGGGCGTGTTAGCGCGGAAACTCTCCTTGAACTTCTGCATCAGGGACTCCACTGTCTCCTGCGTCGCCTCAGCTGCTGATACAGGGTGGCAATGGGCTGAGATTAGGGCTTGGCCCACCCTTAGCCCCTGGAGGACTGGGCTTGGCCACCTTGAGTCTCAAAACTCCCTCCCTGACCCGTGGAGATACAGAACCACACGCCATGGGCATAAGCACAGATGTAACGTCAGCTTTATTGAACACCTACTATGTTACAGGTGCTGCCCTGTGCCCTTGGGATACAGTGGTAACAATTTAGATACAATCCACATTTCAGGTAATCCATTCTCTGGTAGCATACAAATCCCAGCAATGCTAACCCTGGAGCACTTATGTGATAGGAGAGTTTAGAACTCTAGAGCATCTCACTTCAGGCTTTCTGAAGAGAGCAATATCTAAACAGAGATCTTAAGGATGAGTGTAAATTAGCAAAGGCAGATCAGGATGGAGGTGGGGAAATCTGGAAAGTAAATGTCCAGGGCAGAAGAAGCATGCGTGATAATCTGGAGCCAGAAGGAGCATGATTCTTGAGCAACAGAAAGGTCCTTAGTGAAGGTGCAATGGAGCTTGCATGGGTAGATGGTAAGAAACAGCTGGAGGGAGATGGACACCTTGTAAACCACATTTGGAATCCGGATGTTATCTCAATAGCAAAATATTGTTACTGAAGGGCTTTAAATAGGAAGTTCATGGGAAATTGAGCCTCTTTGTTAACAATTATTAATTTGACTGTGGAGAATGCAAATGGAGGCAAGAGAGATGACCAGCATTGAGACTTTTGCAGTAGCCAGTCAGAGGCAATGGTGCCTGAACCAGGGCAGTGGTAGCAAAGGTCACTCAACGTCCTAGGAGATAAATCTCCAGTACTGTGGATACGTAGGTCACTTAGCACCATATCCCCATTATACGGAGCTTACACTGAGGTCTGCAAACGAGCTGCGTGACTTGCTCCAAGCCAGCAAGTGATGCAGTCACACCTTAGGATCTCTAGTCTGACATTGCCTTTACAAACAACACCTTCCAATGATTTGCTAGCAGGATTTCCACAAAGTTTCAAAACGACGGGGTTAGAAAGTTCCAGCGAATGAAGAAAGTGAGGTCAGAAAGGCAAAGAGAAAAAGGCAGAAGATAAAAGGAAAGGGGAAAAAACCAACAAGGGTTGAGAAGGAAGGAGAAAGACAACATGAAAGGCAAGGAGGGGAGACCAGAAAGAAGACGGGGGTGGGGGGGGGGCTGCTACACGGCCCCCGTGCCTTTGTTCTGAGACATTCCCAAAGACAGCCTTGACTTTGAAATCTTCAAACTCAGCCCTCCCTCCGTCTCTGTCTCCGGAGGCGAGGGAATTTCTTCAGCTACCTTCTGTCTGAGACCAGGAGACGGCAGGTGCCAAAGACTTTCTTTGAAGAGGTTTCATGGGATTGGACAAAGAAGGTTCCTGAATATCCCAGCACCCACGGCTAAAGTGCTCCTGTTTCCTCCCGATATCCTCCCATTAGACAGATATGTCTGCAGGGTAGGTGCCACTCAGCGGGCTGATTGGGAGAGCAGGTTCTGTAAGAAGCCTCATCCTCAGGGACACAAGGATAATCTTTGGTGTCTAGGGAAAAGACAACAGGCAACAGAATGAGCTGCATGGTGACATTCTAGCTCCCTCACTGCTCCTGCTCCCCTCTCCAAGGATACCTGCCTTAGGTCCTACTTAACGTGGTGCAATAAGACTCCAAACGTGGGCTTCTTATTCAAGCCTGCAGAGGAGACCCCTCCAAAGGAAGGTAAAGTTCTGAGAAGCAACGTCAGGCCCAATTTGATTCCTTAAACCCAGAGAGAAGAGTGACTTACCCAGAATTGAAAGAGGTAACATAAGCCATTGTAAAAAAAATCCAGAACAAGTAGTGGACTGTCTGAAATTCTCAAATAGAGGGACTCCCCTAGGTTTGTCAATATTCATTCATTCACTCATCTCCCCATTTATTTATCTCTTCATTCAGCAGCATTTACAGAAAAACCATCACGAGCCTCTGGTGAGAACAAGAGGAACACGTCTTGTTACAACCAAACACTGTAGACTGGTTGGCTTAAAAAAACATCATGGACTGGTGGCTTCAACAGCAAACTCTTATCTTTGTAGGGTCGTAAGGAGGTAAGTAAAATTGAGTGAGGTCATAAGGAAGGGCAATAATCTGATTGGACTGGAAAGAGAGACACCTCTTTCTCTCTCCCTCTACTCCATCATATGAGGACACAAAGAGGAGGTGACAGTCTGCAAGCCAGGAGGAAAACCCTCACCAAAACCTGACCCTGCTGGCCTTAGACTTTTAGCCTCCAGAACTGTATGAAAATCATTGCTTATGCCACCCCGTCCACTGTATTTTATCATTTAATCCAATCAGACTAAAGCACAACCTAAAAAAGACTGTGACCTTGTCTAGGAAATAAAGGAAACTTGCTTCATGGAAGTTGCCATGTGACTAGGGTCTGAAGAGTATGCATCATCAAGTGGGAGGAAGTGTTGGGTGTTGGAGAGGTGGGGTGAGGACAGAAAAAGAGACAGAACAGTCTAAATGAAGACCTTTTAGGGAGAAGGACTATGGAAGGGGTTGAAACCGGCCTTTGGTACTGAATTACTGCCAGCAAGTGACATGAGATAACCCAGGAGAAGAAATAGGAAGCCTAACCCTGACCCTTACTCCTTGGACCTTGTGAAGGATGGACCATGCTGAAGGTTTTAGAGGGGCAGGAGCAGATTTGCATGAAGGGAAGATTTCTCTAGCAAAAGAGAGAAGAATTCACTGGGAAAGAACAGGAATGAAAGTGAGAAGACCAGCTAGGAAGATAACACAGCAGCACCAGAGCCCAAGTACGAGACTATGGCTGCCTGGAGTACTGCAGACACCGTAAAGATGGAGATGTAGGTGGAGTAGTAGAGAGAATAGAGGCAGAAGCAGTAGAATGGTAGAGACTGAGAAGTGGGCAACATGGAGAGTGATATTGTAGGTAAAACACCCTCGGGTCGTGAAGGCAGACTGAAAGGGGCAGACACGGGGTAGAGGGACTTATAGTTTGACTCCTGGTCTTCTGGCTTTTCACAGCTGCAGAACGATGGTCCCTCAACAAGAGCAAGGACCCTATAAAAGTCCACATTTGATAGGCATGAACAAGCTTGGTTTTAGGTATGGAAACTTAGGGGTCTCTTCAAAACATCTAAGTGGCAGTGTGGAGTAGAGACTTGAGTTCTTTGGGTCCCACACTCGCAAGAGAGAGCCAGCCTCTAGGGAGACATGCATCCCTTCGAAGAGGTAAGAGGAAGTATCTGTAATAGTTAATAACATGAGCTTCTGGCACAGTGCAGGCAACAGAATGCATACACACCCCTATCTGTGCTGGTTGCTCTCCATTGGCACCCCGATCCACCATGCTCCCCAGGTGCATTCTTCCCATTGGCACCCCTGATCCACCATGCTTCCCCAGATTCATTCTTCCCATCTGTCCCAGTGGCAGATCCCTAGGGGCAGTATCACCTAGCTCCATGTTATCTGGCTGCAAGGTGGGTTTGGCCAGTAGGATGCTCTGGCTAAAGATGGGAAGGGAGAGTGTGGAGTATCTCTTCCCTCACTCCATTCCTGTTTCGGTACCATATCTGATAGAGACAAGGACCCTGGGTAATCACATCTTCTGCCAGGGGTCCCTTTTCCACAGTTCCAAATCTCACACCAATAAAACCACTTTCCTCTCCCTGGCCCTTCAGTTCCAGCAGCTAATAGTGGCTTCCTGTCCTGTCCTGTCCCTGGTACCTTGATTTCCACATGTTGACTCTCCTTGCTCTTTCTAGACCTCCACAAACAGTTGATTCATTGAATTCTCATAAAATCTTTTTATTTGTGGATGCTTCTTTGTCTAGACAGAAAATGACTGATACACTATCCCCTCTCTGTTCTTCCTGTCTCTGAAATTCAGCAATTTCCAAAGGTCAGCGTATCCCTGTCCTGTTATTTCTACGTTCTTTCCCTTGAGCTGATATAGACTTGAATGGCTGGGGGAGAGGAAAGACACATGGAGAGAGAAGGTTTGCTCCCCTGAGCTTCAAGGGTTTCTGATCCCAACTGTAGCAGATCCTCTCCATCTGTTTGGCTGCTTTTGTCTTGGCAACAATGCCAAGAGCCCAGGCGGGCTGAGGGGGCCAGTGCTAGCGTGTATCTCTCCCCTCTCCAATTTCGTCCTGCATGCCGCCCTCTTCACAGCACCCCTCCAGCCCCCATTCTGCAGCTCTATCAATATCAATCCATCAAGTTGTTCAAATAAGCCTTATTACCTCCGGGTACCCACCAAGCTCTGCCTCCCCAGAGCGGCAAAATGCTCACCATGGCCCGGATGAATGCAACAGATGGTGCTTGATTTGAGCATCGCGGCAGGCCGAGGAAAGGGAGGGAGACGAGGGGAATGCTGCCTCTTTCTAATTGACATATGAGAGATTGTCGAGCTTAATGGGAGTGAACCACCCGGGTCTAAGGGGAGAAGCCCTGGTGCCCAGGCCAAGCTGGAAAGAGAGAGGAGAAGAGAGCAGGAGAGAGAGGGAAGAGGAGAAGAAAACAGAGTGGAGGGCAGAATTATGCTCAATAATCAATGATGGGGGCAAAGAGGATGATAAGGGAGAACGGAGAACGGAGGGCGTGGAAAGGACGGGAAAGAACAGAGAGAAAAAGAAAAAGCCAAAGAGAAGACCCAGAGAGAGGGCTGAGCCATAGTCCCTTTGCAAAGGCAGAAGGGGCTTGTTGGTTTCCAGATACCAGGCAAGCCTCGGCCTCTTCCTCTACCTTGCAGAGCAGGCTCTGCATGTTTGTCTGCACTGATTCTTGACAACTGTATACTCAAACTGTTATGCACTGCTCTCTCCTCCCAACAGCACCCAGGATGTTCCACTACTGAAATATGTATAGGTTTGAGTTCAAGTTTTGATAGCACTTTATCACCTCTTTAATTTTCTCAGACACATTCAATCTGTGTTAGAAGAAAAATTCACAATTCTTGAGCGACAACTCT